TTGAGCTATGCAGTTACGCAGCTTAGCTACGGCCTCTTAGAGGACTTAGTCCTTACCCGGAACATACGAAGGCAAGGGCTTCGTGGCATACTGCAACAGTTTCAACGCGGCAGGCCACTTTTAACATGACAGACCCTTCGTGAGGACGTCTCCTCGTTGCATCGAAGTGTCTGTGTGACTGATATCAATGTCTTCTGACCCATTGACCACCTCACAGGTTGACGCAACATTAACTCTGCGCGTCTTTGCCAAGTGACGAAGCTTAGCTGAGTATCCCTTGGCGATGATGGCAGTCACTGCTGAGTTATCCTCAAAGATTGCGAGCCTGGTCGATGGAATGAGAGTCTGCCAAACATGAAGAGTCGGCAGCGCTTCAGAAAACAATGATGTAGAGAGGGACACGAATTCACTTTCAGTCGTGGACCGTGATACCACACTCTGTCTTTTGCTCCCCCAGCTTAGCAAGGCGAAGCTTGACGGTCCGGTCAAGGCAAGAACATACCCCGACGTGGACTTCATGGTTCGGACATCCTGCAAAGTCTGCATCGCAGAACAATGAAATGCTTATAGCATATCAGGAGCGTCCTGGATTGACATGACACGCGCATACTCATGAGTGAGCTGCAGGTAACCTATCCAGCGAGCGGCTCTCCGGTCTTAACAGACCATGTGGCGATATGCTTCGCAAGAAGGTTTATAATGAACATAACATCAGGCCGGGGTATCCTGCGTAACCACATTAGTTTCATGACCAGCTTAGCTGCATGAGGTGCACGTTGACCACGGGGTTCATCATCTGACGCAATGAGCGAGCCTTCATCCCAACAAGGAGATGCATAGCTCTTGATTGGCTTGTTCGCCACAGAGCTGGACACGTTGCTTAGCAAAAAAACGAAGACTCTAAAGCTAGTGTTTTCTTACCATCCATCCAAACAAGGCGATGATTCCGTCCGAGCACCCTTCCGAACTCATTTGGAGGGTCTAGGTTTACGTATTCACTTAGTGCGCGCCAGAACTCACCATGTTTTGACTTCACCCCTGACAGCGTCAAATCACCGACGTATACTGACATGAGCAGGGCTTGGCCAAAGTGGAACGGAGATGGCATATCTGGGAATTCAATCCCGTTTAACTTCTCGTGGAAAATCTTTGACACATGAGCTTGCCAGTGGGCGGATGATTCTGGGCGCCTACAGGCTCTTGTAGAGCTGCGCACATGGCTGGTGAATGTGCTTCTTTGACGGAGGGACATGACGAAAGTCCTGCGCTTTGTTCCTCGAGCGCGTGTTGCCTTCAATCGTGGAAAAGGCAACCACAGTGTTCAACGCTGCAATTGAGCTTGGAGCGGAGGCTGCAAGATCTTGGAAGATGGCGCTTAGTCCCCCTGATCCCTTACTGCATCACCTCTAAGCCCAATTCAGGCTTTGATCTTCCATTTGGAAGGATCTTTTTCATAACCCTTGATGCCAACAATGACCATGAGCGCCCCAAAATGCAACGTTTCATTTGGAAATTCCTTGATCACATCGGCTTTCGAGCGAATTTCCTCTTCCAACCAAGTGCTTTCGAGCAACGGGCCGCTCTTTTCATTGCCAATTGCCTCAAAAACTTCAGGATGTCCCTTCCACTCTTCTCTGTCAAGCAGATGGTGCACGAATGTGGGTGTGAAAAAACTCTTTGAGACAACTCTCATGCATCATGACAGCAATGGGAACACATGGCATGCCTTTCACTACATGTTGACACATTTGGCGTGGTCGGAACCTGGCCATTGATCAAATGCCGAAACAGAGCGCTGAGCATCAATCTACACAAGGGATCAGGGTAAAAGGCTGAGTTCCTAGTATACTTCCTTTGAAGGGGAGCACGACGATCATGTGTGCACTCAAGCTTACCCAATGATTCTGCTAATCTTACGTTGTTGGTTACAAATCTCCATGGCTTTCTGGCAGGCTGATCGTCCTTGGCCTTCACTCCTACAGTACACTCATCAAAGGTGGCTGAGAACAACTGCCTAAGCGTGATCCAAGATGCCAATGGTTCAGACATCCTGAGCAGTAACGGGGCCAATTGAACGAAACAAAACCACCATTGTCCAAAACATGGTTTGCAACCCTGATGAACGAATGCATCATTACTATACTCTCTCTCTCCGTTTCTCTCGAAGGATGCTAGTGAGTCGAGGGTTCTTTGCCTCATTCAACCTTTCCCAAGCACCCCAAGGACCGCATTCAATGGATCCATGAATCGAACAAGCAGGGATGGCCTTCACCTGTTCATGATCAATGCTTGCTTCCCTAGAAAGGTCGATGTGCTCTTTACAAAACAACTTGAACTCCAAGTTCCTCACCAATTCTTCCAAGAGAAGAGTCTGCGGCGCAGGCAAATTCAAACAAAAAATGTCCACCAGGAGACGCGTGGACTTGGCTTTGTACCCGCTGTGGCTTGCCAACGGCAGTGGCCGCAGCAGCAGCAAAAATTTCCTGCACCGGTTCCTCCGGAGCGTTGCAAGACAATGCATCACGCGTAATGTCAAGCAATGCGGCCACGCCGCCACTCACTCTTTCTTCATCATCGCTCTCAGAGGGCGGAGGGCATATGGGAACCTCCTCCTCGCCCGGAAAGGACAGTCGGAGTGTACTCTACATCATCAAGCACCTCTCCAGGCATTCCGGGGACGAAGTCAAAAGACCTAGCAAAATAAGGAACGTTAGCTCAACCCTGGTGGCCCTGATTCGATTCTCTTCATTGGGTTTGTACTGGAACTTTGAACAGTCCTTGATGTAACATGGCAACTGATTTGGCAACCAAAGAAAACCCATCCCCGAGCTGATGTCAAGACCCACCAAACGAACAAATGGACATGACTCCAACACGAAATGATTGGCTTCTTTGAAAACTCCCTCCTCTTTGTCTTTCAAGCCAATGGCATCACTCGAATCGCGATTGCCTCCACCTGTGGTGAACCTTAGGCTCTCACTTGACGGGACCACGAACCGATCGAAAAAATCATGATGGATCCCCTGACGCTCCAAAGCTTGCAAGGAAACAAGATGACGACCGGCACCGGTGTCGGCAGCGAACTCGAGACATCCTTCAGCCGGCATGGCCATGGATGACAATGCAGCGACAATGGCAACTGCAGCCATCACTTTGCCTTTGCAAGCAGGCTTGGGCGATGTCTTGGGCTTGGGCTTCGGCTCAGCCTTCAGCCCTGGTGAACTCTCAGCTTTCACCTCTTCGTGCAAATAAGCACATGAGCTTCCATGAACACAACCTGACGGCATCTGAAAGAAAACACAAGGCGTCTTTGCTTTATCTTCCCTTGACGAACCCTTACCTTTACCCTTACCATCTTTCCCTTTTCCTTTCTCTTCTTTTGCTTTGCCTTTTGCATCCCCTTTCGAAGAAACATCTGCAACAGCGGCCGGGGCTTCTTTTGCAGGAGCTGCTTTGGCAGGATTGGCATGAGCATTTGGCCTCTCGTTGGGGTTCTTTTCTCTTCCAAGCTTTTGGCTTCTCTGACAACTCGATTGAGCGGGCATTGACATCTTCCCTTTCTTCTACAAGGTGCTGTTGAAGCCTACGCCGACGCCGCAAAAACTCAAACTCTCTAAGCTGAGATGTTGGGGGCGAACGCTTGATTTCATCAATGGTCCTTTCGAGTTTCCGAACATTCCTCAACCGATGAAACAACCATTCACCGAGCATTCGAGGCTGAGGCCAATCTGCGGGATCTATGGAATTCAGGGCCATGACATTTCCACTAAACTCCTGAAGATCCTTCAACGAGAAGCCACTGAGCTCAACCTGAAAGATGCTTTGCGACGCGAGCAACGAACCACGAGCGCGATCGAGATCGAAGTGTCGAGCAACCACATGTACAAGATCATTCTTCCTTGAGGTACCGTGGACTGACGCGCGCAGTGTTCAATCATACCCTTGAACCTTGAACAAACGCCCTGGGATCGCTCGCGCGCTATTGGGAAGCTCAGATGCGAGCCATCTATCAAACCGTGGAATCAGTCCGGATGAACTTTGGCATTCCCCTCTTCATGACCTACCTCGAAAGCTGTGGCGGCCCACTTGGACAAGTACTCTCCTGAAGAAATGTCCAAGCGAACTAGCATCAGAAAGAAATCTGTCTGTGGAACAACCTCCAACTTTGAACGCAACAAAGCCCTTGAATCAACAATCTCCCTTTCTTAAGCGTGAGAGGGTGAGTCAGAGATCAACGCATCCTCATTGTCTGACTCACACCACCCCCCTGATCGTCAGGCTCCGGCGGACCACCAGGAACGCCACCTGATTGGCGAAAGCCTCGAAGCCAATCGGAAAACTTTCGAACCGTTTCATGAGCACGGAATGCAGGAGATGACAAATCATGTCTATGCGCCACGTTATTTTGGCTAGTCTCATTACCATGACCTGAAGACTTAGACTCCATTGAACTCATTCTGTTTGACATGACAATGTCTGAATGGCTTCCATGATCGAATGCAGCATTGGTTCATTACTGCTTCCAAAGTCCTTCGAAGAAACCGCTTCAGGCTCTGGCACTGGAGCGAGTGCAATGTGCTGAGCGCTAGCGGCGCCTGATGCAGCCAGACTATAGCCTCCAGTTCCAAGACACGAGACTTCGAACGATCAAGCTCATGAGACAACGTGCTGATTTCTGAATCCTTCTGACCCAGGAGGTTGGTGGTGTACGCCTTGGTTTCTGACGCCTTGGTGAGCTCCTCCTTGGCTTTATGGAGCTGGCTTTCGAACAGTCTGATCCTGAAGGCCTTTCTTGGTACGCTGAACGGACTCATGCAAACTTGCAATGATTGAACCTTTCTCAACACAACCCGATTGGAGATTCTCTACGTTACCCTTCAGCTCTTCCACCATCATGGTAAGGTGGTTGATGTGATTACATGCCTGTTGGTATATATCTTTTGATAAACCTTCATGCTGTGCCCTGGTCTCGGGTTCGCTTAGCATCCTCTGAGACCCTGTTACCAACCTCCCGTACTCATTGGGTCGATTCCCATGATTGCTACCTGAATGCGCTCGCTCATCGTGCATGTGCAAAGCTTGATGAACAGTTGGCTGAACATTGCCAAAATTAAGTTCGAGAACAGAAGGCTGACTTACTTGAAGGCCACTTGATGAAGGTCCACGAAAGTCTGTCAAAGCAGGCATTGAGGGTGAACTTGAAGGCAATGCCTGAGGCTCACCTACCGGCCTTAAGGTTTCGGACGGCTGTGGACACTGAAGTACGACGTGAACTTGATTGCCTCTTCCTTGGTGTCCCTCAACCACCGGATGACTGCGATCGACTTCTAACATGCATTGCACCGGCAACAATGTCTAACGGACTGTCAATGATTAAATTCAATGATGATGACTGTTCTTCTGACATGCTTTTGGATCAGCAACCACTTCTATTGAAAGAACTACGCAAAAGCGATCGGATGACGCGCGAAAGCAAGAGCACGCCCTTCCTTTTTCGCACCTTGCGGCGCTGACGCTGCCGAGCAAGGATTCTGCGAGCACTCACCGGGATGCACCTCTCAGCTTGGCAAGCGGCACACGAAATGCCTGACTGGGATCTTCTGCCAATGAAAAGGTTCGAACAAAAGCCTCGGTTTAAGAACAAGACCAGTCGTAGAACTGATGCGGAGCAACGATCTGTGAGCACGTGGCTTCCTCACTTGAAAGGCCACCTGACCTGAACCCCAGAATTCAGAAATGACTTCGGGATTGTCGTCATAGAGGAACGCAAGCCCCGACGATAGTGCCTGGCAGGCGGACAATTTGCCGGCTTCACCGTAACGTTGCTCTGTAATGAGGATATCGCGAACTGGCAGGTTGGAGATCTCAGTATGGTAAAGCAGGTTTTCCAGATTCGCTTGGGACCTTTCAATGTGAGAGCAAATGATGATCTCTGCGGTGTTGCCTGCGTTGTTAATCTCTTCACGAAGAAAGCGCAAGGACTCAATATGGCGAGGTGGTATTCCGTCACCCGTTGGCCGCTCAGTGTAGTGCCTTGAATGGCGATCAGTATCAAGAACTTGGTGCCATTCGTACACTATAATAGATGCTGTTTCAACCTTGGCAAAGACCCTCAATCGACCGCTCTGCACCGGCCGTTCTCAACAATGAACACGCGCGCACTTGGATGAAAAGGTGCGATCTGAGTGTGTCCAATCGGTGCAATCTCAGCGTTCTCGTCCTCAATCACAAGGATGCGGCTGCGACTCACCCGCCGCACGCCGTTCAGCAAGGCCTTCAAAGCCCCTTCGCTCCATGGACTCACGAAACCAAAGCTCTTGGGGACCAACCGAACGACCTGTGATGCAATCACCGACAGAGGTCGTGCACGAGGAAGGGTGATCGCCGCCCCAGTCGAAACACCAGCCTCGGCTTCCTCCTCTGAGGATTCAGGATCCCAAAGAAGCCTAGGCGTGAACAACGGTCGAGACTGCCCTCCCGAATGCACAATCGGGATCTCCTCCACAGGAACGCCCTGTTCCTCAGCTGCGTTGCGAGCAAACGCAGTCCTGCGGCGCTTAGCTGCCGCACCTGACCGAATGCCGCGGTGACGCTGGCCGGTCAGGGTCCTTCAACCGCGGGCGCGGGGTAAAATGTAATGTTGTTCCTAGTAACACCAAACACCAACAACAACAATCAAACAAAGCCGATACGGCTGACAACCATTTGAAGTGGAAACCAGCCCAACCAAAAGCAAACAGTCAACACAACAAGCGCTCTGACGGGTCGCGCCTGTTTTCATCTTGAGCCAAATACAAGTAACGCATAAAGCATGTACATATATGAGAGGGCTGCTATACAGGGCAAAACTCAAGTATAATATTCGGCCTGAAAATTATGTGTATGTCTTGAATGTTCTAAATGTATTTCTTGAAATTTCTGCTTCTAGATCTTGAAGATGTATTGTTTTATATTATGTTATACTATGTTTTACTTAAATTCCATCTTGACTCATCATGATTCATTTTTGCTAGAAAATGAGGAACCCTCACTAGAAAATGAAGGGGCAAAAGAATCAAGAAAACACGGTGTCTAGAAAATGACCTTGGAAATCCTTGGAAGCATGCCTAATTATTTACCTGCGTGTCTCATATTCTAGTGAACTATATTTTCTCTATATAGAAAATGCAACACCTGACCCCCTCTTGACTAAAGAATGCCCGTTTTCTACAGACGTCAACCCCTCCCATTTTCTAGTCCGAATATCCTGGGGGATCTTGTTGGTGGCTTCCCTTCAACAAAGATTAACAAAGTAAACGAAATGAGCCAAGGTTGAGGCAGCGTGTTATCCAAAAAAAGAATCTCACATCAGTGATCAGCAAATACCGGACCATTTGACTTGCACAGTTTCGATCTGAATCCGTCCACTGCCACTTCTGCATGGAAACAAACCGTCACTTCCCATCTATATATCATCCGTCCTGTGCAAATGGCTATGCAAATGAGGCTGTGAGCAGAACCTCAACTAACTGCGGACAACATGTTTGACAATCTGGGCTTGTCATAAGCTGAGCTCTGCGCCCTCCTTGAAATGAGCTATGGCCTCTCAGTTGCCAAGAGTGAGGAAAACATCACTCATGAAACGTCCTTTCAAGCCGTTTTCCTTTTTGCATGCCTTGGTGCGGGTATCTGCTGGCCGACCACCCTCATCAACGAAGCTCCGCGCTGGCTGAAAGTCCTGCACCTCAAGGCAGACAAGCACCCAGGTTTGACATTTACGTGTTCCCATCTGAGTCAAAAAGCTGTGGGTTGCACTGGCATGTTAACTTTCACCACGGCCACAGGCCAGCAACCTGCAAGTAGAACTGCGTATTCACGGCCTGCCGCAAGAACGACACACATCCATTGTGACTTTTCCACCTTTACTGCAGTGCTTAGGCTTTGACGTATCGAGTATGTGTGGATCTGAAACTGGAGCGTTGCAAGGCCCTCAAACGTGGTACCAACTAATACAAGCCCAGAGCTTGGAACATCAAGTCTGTGGATAAAGCCATACTCAAAAGTGGCCAACCGCACCACTCTGGAGGTCTCCTGATCTTGAACGAAGTGAGACAGGAGTCTCGTCCTTCCACTTCCAACAGTTTTGTTCCTCTTCGCATCAACTTCCCAATTGGGTGGCTTGTAAATCACCAAAATACCTCTTAGCTTTGCCAACACTCGTGGAGCATTCATATCGGTTGCTGGGAGCACATCAGGAGGGCTGAGCCTTTGGGTATCAAGCTCTGTGCCATCAAGGTTTCGCCCAGTATCCAAAAGCTCACATTGCAAACACTTGCTTAGATGGGCAGAAAGCCGGCCGCAAAACGAGAATGCCCAAACAATCTGACAAATATGATTCGCATACCTGCTTGCCACCTCGTAGGAGCTGTAGATGTCCGCACTATGTGCGTGCAGAAAATCAGATGAACAAATCAGTGTGTCTGCTGCACCGAAAATAGGGTCACGCAAACGCAGTAAATTGGTATGCGATCACAAAATGTTTGCTAAGCCTTGCAAGTCGAACTCTGCCAGGCATGCAATGCACGCTGTGGAGATTGCTGCAAGAAGAGAAGTAGCAGGAGCTTGCAAGGTTGAGAAAGCTTACACTGTGTTTGATAGATTCTGAGGGTGCATTTCTGTCACAGTACGCATTGCTGCCTCCTGCAATCCATACAATGAGAATCCTTCGAAAGTGAGAGTTGCACAAGTTCAAGCCGTGTTGGACACATCTTGACCCGTGAAGGTGTCCAGTTTGCTGGCTGCCTCATGCGATAGGGCCATGAGTGCACAAGAATCCTCATGCATCACAGTGGCGAGTTCCCAGAAAATGTTTGATATGTTTTGTGCATCAAATTCGCCATGCATGTGTTTCACTCTGAGAGACAAAGCTTGAAAGAGCGAGCAGTTTGGCACAGCAAGGCCACCAAAGGTCCAAACTATGTTCGCTACGTTCTGGCTCTGCAACTCAGAGGTCTTGCTGATGACAGCACTTGCCAAAGAGGACAATTGAAGTTCGTGAAAAAGCTCCAAGCGAGACACCCTTCATGCCATGTTGGCTGATCCCTGCGGTGTGAACTCGCCTATTCTCTGCAAGGACATATCAGCAACTCCCATCACAAGCGGCATATGCCGAGCAATCAGAGTTCCTTGCGTCCACATGATGTTTGCCATATTCTGCTGTGAAAGCTCAATAAGGCGAGCAGCCGAGTCTTCCAAGAGAGAGCTCAAAAGGGCAAAGTCTTGGGAGCCGATTACTCCAAGTGTTCAAACGATGTTCGCTGTGCCTTGGGGTGAGAAGCGGTAGGAACATGATCGGGAAAGCTTCGACAAAAGAGGCGTCGATTTGAGGCTGAGTTTCCCATATGTCCATAGAATGTTCGCAATGCCCTGAGCGGATTTGTCAAGCGAATCCCTTTCCAGCCTGGCAGCACTTGCTGCTAAAAACCTTTCCCCTCGCAGCAACAGCACACTGAATGATCACAGCACATTGGCCAATCCCTAAATGTCGAAACTCTACACTTTCTGAAGTGCAGCGAGCGTCACAGCCTCAAGCAGTGTAGCGTGTGCTCTGCCCGGATGGCAGCAGTGGCCTTCATCAGATACTGGAGGCTGATCACCATCAGCCGCCCCATATGAAAGGCTTTTCATCTCAGATGCACAAACGCAGATGAGTTCTGCGGTTCTTGATGGAGAACTCACTGGATATCAAGTTCATGGACAACATACATGGGAATTACTACCTACATTTACCTACGTATACACACTGCAACAGCATTTGTCAATAAGAACAAGACGATACAAGACGATCAACACCAAACCGATCAACTTCAACAGACTATGAATACATGAAACAAATCTCTCAACTCGAGCCACGGAAACTGAATGATTCATGTGCGATGAAAGCTCATGGTGCTAGGCAAGTCAAACTGCGAGGGATCTTTGGACCAAAACGAATTTGTTTAGAATCACAGAAGCCACTCGAAACCAAGCATTGGTTCTCTCACAGAAACAGGATGTTCCGGAAGTCCATGAAAGCTTGACATGCCTTGCTTTGCAGATCTTTGGAATGCATTCAACGACATCCCCGAGTCCAATCTTCGAATTTCAGCCGAGCCTAGGCACTGAAGGCTAAGACAGGCCCGGGTCATGTACAGCCGTAGCTGCTTTTTTAAAAAGCCTGCAGCTCAAAATATCGGCTTGACCGTGAAACAGTTGCCCGCCTAGCGCGGCATCGCACGCCAAAGAGACCAAAGATGCCATTCTCGACTCGTTTGTACACCAAACCTACTTTGCTGGCTACTGACTTGATTGCTGCGAGCATCTGTGTGAAACGTGAAACTCTCAAACATTTTGCCACAATTCTGTACACGCAAGCCTTGTGCTTGTGCTTTTCCTGCTTTGAGCTGTGCAACCTATGACAATGCCAGCACAAAACCTATCAACATCACATTCGCTGAGTCACCAAGGTCATCCTCAGCCTAGAGTCCAGAGAGGGAAGCGAGTTTGCTCTGGGTGATACGGTGGGCTGAGAGAACATTCGACCAGTTACAGTACAAGCAAAATCCAGCTGGGCCAAAAGACGTGGCCAAAACCTTGTTATGCGACAACTGTATTGGTTGGTGTACGGTGTATTGTATGCAAATCCATGGCATTCCGAATGATGGGGGGCTAGAGGGCGACAATTGTGGGGGCTAGGGAGCGACCACCCGGCGAGCGCTCGTTCACGAGTCCCAGGACAGCTCGGAGTTTGTGACCACAAACGACGCACTATGTATCAGATGTCGATGAAATGAAGGTGGACGCAAGCAATGAATCATAAGGAATCAATCAACATCTGTTTTGTTTGGCTTTTGAAGCTTCACAATAGCAAAGCAATGCAAAGCAGCGTGCATATGTTGGAGGCAGCGGCAGGATGTAAATTCCATGAAATTCCTACTGAAACACAGTCTCCCGGAAGACATCTATTGTGAGGCATCATCAACTTCTTGGGATGATCATTCATGGTGTAGTTCATCCTTCACTGCATCAATCAAAAGAGAACCCACATGTAGAACAATTCCGGAGAACTTCCAACTGCCAGGTTTCATATACAATAGCAACTTCCACACTCCCTTCATTCATCACATCACCAAGACCCCTGGTCATATGAACTACAAGTACAGTGCGCAAACATCAGGCCTGGAAATGGGCAGCCTCCCTTGTAAGCTCCCAACCAAGGGTCAGGAGATTAATCAGCACTGTGATCAGCACTGTACTGACTGCACCTACAGAAGAAATAGTAGCAAACACTCGCAAAACCAAATCGAGTTTGCACTCCTCTCACTCAGATGTCCATCTCACACTGTCTGGTGCCCTTTTTTTTCAAACCCTGTACATCCCTGTACACTGTACACCGCTACAGTTCTACAATCTGCATCCTTCTTGCGCCAATGCTTGCGCGCAAAGTGATTGAGAAGCAAGAAATGGGCGGCATTGCATGCCCACGTTCACACATCTTTCAGTTTTCGAGACTTATCTGGTCTTGCATCCTCCTGGTCGAACAGTCACACTGATGCAGCTCAAATTGTTGTTGAACCAAAAGCGCTCAGAAAAATCCACTTCATATCAACCACATCTTGCAGCACTAACCTTCTGCCTGTTCGTACTCTTTTGCAGTGGCCGCCAGAGTGTACTCTTCTGGCCTCTCCTGGCAGTCCGGCTTCAAGCAGGCAAATTCGGAAAAGGCAAACATGTCAACAATCTTCACTCAGAGACTCAGAGCACACTCCTCTTCAGAGCTATGGCCAAACTCTGGGCAGCGCTGGCTAAGTTCCTCTCCTTCGCAGAAACCTCGTGAACAATCGTGCATTGGAGGTGCTGAACTGCTTCTACATCATGCCTATATGAATGGGATGTGACCTGAGCACCGAGCAGCAAGGGCAACAACAATAGAATAATTTTTTAGCGGGCCAAATGCAGAATACTTATATTTTAGCTGAGAGCTTCTGGTGCTAAAGGCTCTGAGTCACACTCGTCTGTGCACTCTGAGTAGGTTGAGAGGTGGCCAAAGCATCTGAGTGCAACTCTCACCAAGCCTTTAACATCCAGAGCTTGTTTAGGAGGCCTGAGGATTCCAGGGCTCATATGATCCGACCGGGGTCTCCAGCCAAACGAACACTTACCTGCTGTTCTACAATGACTCCATAATGATCCATCATATATAATCTCTCAAGCATTGCTTTTCACGCCAAGAAGGCTGTCTCTCTGTCTAGCCAAGCTGGATTCTTTCAACAGCCAGGCTTCTCACACCAACTTTCCCAACCTCCCTGCTTCACCACACTCTCGGCCTGACTTTCTCCGGTAGGAAGGTGGCTCGGTCATGACTGTATGTATATCTCCAGGCCAATGGAACTGAGCTGTCTCCACCTCCTCTTCACTAGTTGACCATTCTCCATATATTGATGGAGGAGTGTTGCTCCATCCGATCGCAGCGGGGCCAGGTCGTAAGGTGAACTGTTGGGCAAACTTCTGACTTCCAGACCAACACGTCTTTGAAGCGTGACGAACCGCCTCCTCAAAGTAGCTGGCGCCCCTGGCAAAAGGAAGGCAGGTCCGTCAAGCTTCCTGAAGACTGGTGTGACCGGTTGGACGATGTTTTCATGGTCAACACGTGCGGATTGGTGCCATACTGATTGGGCTCCTGATTTTTTCTCAAGCCAGAAAACTTCTTTCCTGTAGGCGGTCAGGTCCTCGCAAACCACTTCTGCATCAAGCTGAGAGCGGTCTACCAGCTTGGTCAGGGTGGCTCTCAAGTTTTTCGCTAGCTGGGTGTCGAGCTCATGGAACTGCCTAACTCTGCACTCGGGTCACCTGCTTTTGTGGCTCCAGGGACATGGCTTCTACGAAAACACGCGGTCCCGCGCCCAAATGGCTGCATGCATAGGACAGCTGTGGTACCCTTACAAACCAACCTTTTGGGAGACCGGTTTCCGTTATGGTGCTAAGGAGGAGCAAGTAAGCAAAGAGCCAGGGACGTGGAAGCTTGCGACGAGAAGGAGCAATTCCAAGAAGTCTAATGAGGGCGAGGCCGGAGGGGATGAGCTGAGCAGCCCAAAACAGGGCTGTCCACCCGTCATGGGCGAAATTGGTAAGCTCACGTAGAAAGCCCTCTGATACTGAATGACCAGGCTGAGAGCCAGCCTCAACACCAGGACAAAGCACAGAGGAGGCAAGAATGAATAGCCGGATCCATCCTGCCTGAGGCTTTGAGAACTGATGAGAGTGCAGCTTGACAACCTGCTCGCTATCGAGGTAATCCAAAATGGAGTGTCTCGATGGTTTTGGTAGATCACGAAATCTTGTGGGGGGCATCAGCTGCGTTTAGCCTGGTGGGGGCAAAACCAAAGGAGGGATGCAGGTTTGCAGCAACTGTAATTGCACAGGCCTTCCTCAGTGACTGCTGTAAAGTCCTCGCTGAAGATCTCCCTTTCGCACGTGCCCCCTTTGCTACTCTGCTATCCAGCAGGGCAACAAATCTCTTTCGTCCTCCTCTCTGGGCGAGTCTGTGAAGGAGGCCGAGGTAGGAATGGCTCTCCAGGACATTCATGATGTGAGCAGGGGTTTTCCAATCGCAAGAGAACATAGGGCGCCATTTGTGAGAAATCAAGAGATCGTTGAGGATGACAGACTCGAGCCCTCTGGAAGTCTCGCGCGGCTCCTCTGCAGCCGTCAGGGCCTGCTTAACCTGTAGGGCAAGGTGCTTTGCGACCCCCTCGACATAGATGGCGCTCTTCTTGGTGTAGGCCCCCTACATGTTGGTGCCCACCTAAGCACTTTACCTGGAAAGCTTGTACGTCAAAACCAGACAAGAGGAAGCGGAACTCCTTTCGGTGGATGCTCCCAAACATGCAGCTAGCGACAACTGCTTCCTCTAGGCCCAACAAAATCAGCCACCTCCAAGCCGCTAGCCATGCCATCTTGCTCAGGCGTGGCTGTTCGAGTAGCGCTGGTGCGGCGCATTGGTAAGCGACATACATGATGGTCAAACATCTCAAGGCCAATGTGGTGCCCTCCAAGGTCTTTGGATCAGTACGGTTAAAACCAAGTGGCTGCTGGTATGACCTTGAAGCTGGATGTTGTGCCGGGGAGAACGCAGTGCAAGGAGGCTCACAGGCCAAGGATCTGAATCTCTTCTCTCTGATCATCTGAATGATCCAGTCGAGCAGCTTAACCTCCTTGAGATCAAAGTCTGGGCTGGCGCTGAGATCGAGTGGGGCGCAAACACTCAAACCTAAAGCAGCCACTGCCTTGGATAGGGCCCCAGAATCTCCACATATCTCGACGAAGTCAAAATGGAAGTCCAGGAACCTTGGTGGCCTGAAGAGGTCACCAAAGACTTGAGCATCTCCCCTCTCGTCCTCAGAAGACTGTCCAACTTCTCGAAGGAGTGCAGCGGCCCCCTTGTCTAGAACCGAGTATGCCCCCTTCCTGTCACCTCCGAGCCAAAGGGTTTTGCAAAGGGACTCACTTGTCAAGGCATGAAGTTACCGCTCCCCGGGCAAGGGATGCATCGGTGGCATATATACGCTTGTCATACTCAGCAGAGACATCTGTCACAGCCAGCAATCCTCCAACGCTGGCCAACACCAGCTCCTCCGCCGTTGCCCTCGAAAGATTAATGACATCATTTGCCTGAGCTTTCGAAGGGGTCCCCAAAGCAAATAGGCCGTCAAGGGTGGATGTAAGGCATCGTCTAAACATCAAGATGGAGATCCATTGGCCAGCAAGACGAGATGCTAATCCCCGAGTGATCACTGGCATGGCCGCGAGCTTCAGGGAGAGGAAGGCTGTAGAAACTCTTTTTGCTGTATGACCACTGACCCCGATGATGCCTGCGCCTCGTGCATGGGTGCGTGAGGATATCTCAGCACCAACGGCTTTGAAAGTAGACTCTCCTCTGATGGTCTTGTCATCGGATCCCAACACCCCTGCTGACTTGTAGAGGTCCTCGGCAATGAGTAGCTTCGCTTCAGCTCGCAAGGCCCCAGCAGGACATATTGCCTTCTCCGTAGATATGATGACAAAATCATCAATGACCAGAATCTCCCAAGTAGGGCCCTGAAGAAAAGGGTTGTGATTTAGGATATGATTGTTGACCGACAAGAGACCACCATCTTTCAAGAGTCCAGCGTGGCTGATCAAAGCATACTCGACACCCAAATGGTCTCCTTGAAAAAGGCTCTTGAAACCAGCATATATCTTCTGAGGTTGCTCACCCACAAGTAGTGACCTTCTACGTGGCATCTGTAGGCGGTCACCATGAACGCTTCTATCATACTTTGACTTCTGATACTTTCCAGCTCCTCAAGCTCCCGGCTGCCAAAGAACGAGCTCCTCTGAGAGCCAAACGGAAGTTGGTTGGACCAAGCTCTGCTTCTTGACACCTGGGCTTGATGATAGAAATCCCGTCGATCTGTAACGCACCCAACTAACTTTTGCCCTCTTGGGCAGTGTAGAGATGTCAAAGTCACCCCCAAAGGGAGAAAAGCCGAGGGGCCTCTTCGATAAAGTTCAGCCCCGTTGCACCACCTCTTGTCTCCTATTTGTCTGTCGACGTCACTGTTCTTGAAAGCATTGAAGACCCCAGAGGGGAAATCGCAGGGCTCGTCAAACAAGGCCAAAAGGCCCTTGGTGCTCCAAAGTTTGGCCAGCTTCAAATTTTCCTCCTTCGACTCTCGGGAGAAGTCTGGGCCCACCCAGTCCACATCTGAGCCATGCCTGAGAATCTGCAGTTCAAGAAAAGGCAGCCAGAGAATGTGGTCCATGTAGTCGTGCGTAGGCCAACTGCCATCTCGTGTCAATTTCAGCCGAGATGCATCCAAAGCACGGTAGGGGTTGACGGCAGAAAACTCAGACTTGGGGGTGTAGAGGTGCTTCTTGTGGATGGTGCCCTGTTTTCGGATGGAACTCTCCACCATAGCCAGTCAAGTCGAAGACAGGGTGGGAGTTGACAAAATTGGAAAGCTCAATCAGCCGAGCTATGAATTCAGGTCCTGACCATCCCGGAGGCAGTGGGCAGTCTCCAGGTAGATCACTCACTGTGATCAGCGCGCCAAGGTGTTGATGTATTTGCATCTGCGCTGGACTTGGCTGCCTCAAGACCAAAAGCTGCTCCCCCTCTATACATATAGTTGAGGAAAATAATGAAGACATGTACTAGCCTCTTGCGGCAAGTAGTCCACCATTGAGCAGCATTGAGCCTCGGGATATCTGCTTGTCAAAGAGC